CCTTTTCCTACTAGACATTAGATTCTAAATTACTATGGGGAGCCTATGGGAGGAAAAAATTGTTTACTATTGCAGTTGGCTGGATCAGTTACGCATCTACTATTTGATTATCATTTCACATTATATTATATGAATTACCAGTGACACATGAGCTCTATCATAATCTGCATATTTTCTGATATGCAGCTTGCATTTGCATTTGTCGTATATCCTTGTTTGGTAGTGCAATATATGGGCCAGGCTGCTTATCTGTCAGAAAATATTTCTTCAATTCCAAACAGTTTCTATGACTCAATACCTGGTTAGTTTTATTGCTATACTTATAGATATTATATTTTTCATGGAATCAAAATTAGTTATATTCTACTGGAAATATTTCACTGTCCTGCAGGTAGTGTATTTTGGCCTGTCTTTGTTATTGCCACCCTTGCAGCCATCGTTGGCAGTCAGGCTATTATTAGCGCTACCTTCTCTATTGTTAAGCAATGCCATGCTCTTGGTTGCTTTCCACGGGTTAAGGTTGTTCACACATCAAAACATATCTATGGGCAGATCTATATACCAGAGATCAACTGGATCCTCATGATTCTTACTCTTGCTATCGCTGTTGGTTTCCAGGACACAACTATGATAGGGAATGCATATGGTAAGCCAATAATATCAAGTTGTAACTTCCATCTTTGTTTCATAACTTTCTTTGAGACCATTGGTTATATTATGCTTCTGTGCTGCTTATGACAATATTTCAGAACATAACAAATTTAATGAAATCTACATGTATTATTCCTGCATTCATAACTATAGTAGAACTTTCTTACACAGCGCTAAGTGATATCAACATTGTTGAAAGATTTTTAGGATAAGGTTTCATGATGAGCAGCGATATAGATGAGAGTGTCTTGATAATTCACTGTGCAGTAGCTGAAAGAGAGAGCAAACTGATATGCTGAATCATATCTTTAACTTCGCATTGATATTTCTGTTATCATCAACTAGATGCTTATTTTCCTCTAATCCTACTTTCTAACACGTCGTGTGCAAGGATTAATATGCTTTGAGCATCCATTGTCTATGACATTTAGGACTATTAAAGTTTGTGAGATCTTTAATGAGCTAGAATTTTTCTTAAAGGAAATTTGTTGAACTTGATGATTTGAGATGATGAGAATCAAAAGTATTTTTTCACGGGCTGAACTTCCTAGAAATTGAAGGAAGAATTCATAAGGTACCCCTACATCCCTTGGTATCACCTCAAGGATTTGAATTGCATCAAACAACTTAATACAAAACTAGAATTTCTACAAATACTTCTCCCTGATTGTAGATTGGAAGCCTAGAATGCTTTAAATAGGCACAGTGAATTCCTAAATCTTTTAGGATTCCAAATTCTGATTTGGAAACCTAATAAATTACCTAAGTAACTTAATAGTGATGGCCTGATAGTAAGAAAGACAATACTTAATGATTACCTAAAGAAACAATTTTAGACATATGTAGATTTCTAAAAATTACGAAAATATCCCTCACCTGAAGGCTAAAAATACTTCACAAAACCAAAATCTATATCAAACATGCCTAGTGGCATGTTTATTTTATTACATTCTTTAAATGTTCGACAGTCAAAGGACGCTTCCAAAAACTGCCATGGGAACGTGCCTTACTCACTTTCATATTCTTTATATCTCTACCACAAGAGGAGCTTGACCTTGGCGCATCAACGACACAAATCGTCCCATATTTTAATTTTTGGAAAATAAAGTTAGGTAAGTTTTTAATTATTAAAACATTTGTGTAAAAAAGTTGAAAAATTCTATGAACTTCATGTCAAATTTGTTATGATTCTACTATAAGCATTTTTCTTTCTTCTAGCAGTAGTAAAATGTTGCTTAACCAATGTTGATATAAAAAATATCTGATTCTCTAATTCAAAAGATATCTGCTTCAATGATTAATGCTAAAAAGTATTTAATTTCATTGAAAAATAAACACAAAAATATTAAAATGAAGAGATAATATATAATATAATAACTTAAAAAATGTGATCTGATGTGTCACCAATGTGTCCGAGTTCTACTTTTTCGAGAAATCATGTGTATGCCTTGCTTGTGTCGCGTGTCCGTAATTGTATCTGTGCTTCTTAGACTATTGGCTTATAGATATTATTTTTCTGAAAATCTGCTTTGCTTTTTGGGACTGACATACATGTGCTTATCAATTATGGACATACATGCATATGTTTACTGTGTATTTTGGTCCTGTATGCTGTTCTCTTAGCATAAGTATTTTTTGATTGATATGCTCCTCTTTCATTTATTGTGAGCTGGGAGAAAGTTGGGGATCTAACCCTCTCCCACCCTCATGCCTCCAAGTCCAACACTACCAAAATCAAGAAGATGAGGAAGAGATTTTTCCTTCTCTCTCTCTCTCTTTTTTCTTTTACTTGTGATTGTGGTGTGGGGATGAGGAGGACACCTTGTTCTATGAGAAGCAAAAGCAAAGAAAAGAATTGCAAAGTTTAAATGCTAGTTGAGCATTTTCAAAGTGTAGGGGGGAAAGAAAATACCCTACCTTGTTTTTGCTTTAAACAATTTAACCAGGAAACTGCCTTCTGTGATGACTTCTGGCCACCAGTTTTTTGTGCCTCAAAGTCCATTTATGTTCCCATTTGTGTTTCTTATTTTGTGACAACTTCATCTATATGATTTTTTCTTATACTGGAGCTTCTGTTTGGCAGGCCTTGCTTGCATGTCTGTTATGTTTATTACCACATTTCTAATGGCACTTGTCATGGTCTTTGTCTGGCAAAGAAGTGTTGTACTTGCTGCTGCATTCCTCCTTTTCTTTTGGTTCATTGAAGCCGTTTACCTATCAGCTGCATTCATAAAAGTTCCTCAGGGAGGATGGGTATCACTTGTGCTATCCATGATCTTTATGTTTGTCATGTTTGTCTGGCACTATGGAACTTGCAGGAAGTACAATTTTGATCTGCACAATAAAGTTCCACTAAAATGGCTCCTTGGTCTGGGCCCTAGCCTTGGTATTGTTCGTGTGCCTGGTATAGGTCTCATATACTCAGAATTGGCAACAGGAGTACCAGCTATATTCTCACACTTCGTAACAAATCTTCCTGCTTTTCACAATGTTTTGGTGTTTGTTTGTGTAAAATATGTTCCGGTGCCCTATGTCTCACCTGAGGAGCGCTTCCTCATTGGCCGTGTATGCCCCAGACCCTATCGCATGTATCGGTGCATTGTGCGGTATGGGTATAAGGACATACAGCGAGATGATGGGAATTTTGAGAACCAACTCATTCAAAGTTTAGCCGAGTTTATCCAATTGGAAGCTGTAGAACCTCAGTCCTCAGGCTCCGAAACTGCATCATATGATGGGAGGATGGCAGTCATAAGCACCAGAACTATTCAATCCAGCTCAAGTTTAATAGTATCTGAGCATGATGATTTTGGTACGAGCAATTCCATCCAGAGCAGCAAATCATTAACCCTACAAAGCTTAAGATCGGCTTATGAGGATGAGAACCCACAGAGGGGGCGTCAAGTGAGGTTCCAGTTGCGCCAGAGCCCTGGAATGGATCCCTCTGTAAGGGAAGAACTATTGGACTTGATCCAGGCAAAGGAGGCGGGTGTTGCATATATAATGGGGCACTCATATGTGAAAGCAAGACGGTCTTCCTCTTTCTTGAAAAAGCTTGTCATTGATATTGGTTATTCATTCCTCCGAAAGAATTGCCGAGGTCCGGCTGTGGCACTTCATATTCCTCACATTAGTCTTATCGAAGTAGGGATGATATATTATGTGTAGAGGTTACTTTTCCATGTTGAGAAACTCTATCAGGGTGCACTGCGAATTGATCTTTTGTACAAGCTGATAAGCTTATGATTTTGAGTAGGTTCTAGCCGTGCAAGTAACCAAGAAGCTGTTATAGGTTTTTCTGTTGCGCTTCTTGTGTATATGTATGTATATAGAGAGCTCTTATTTTAAAGTCGCTACTTGAAGGTTACTATTCCTTTTATCACATCATGTGCAAATTAAGTCCGAATATAGAAATTTGGTTCGAGCTTGAACTGCTTTTCTTCTCAGAAATCTTTTTGTTTTTCATTGCGAGACAATTTGAGAAGCTACAGGTGGCGTCGAACGTCCAAATTTCCAGTAACATTTGACTGGCCAAGCCTTAGCAGAACTCCCCGCTCATCAAGTCATGTATTTTCTCATCAAGTTATATTAGTTCTCTCTCTTTCACTTTTATATGATGTGTAAAGAAGGTTGACTACTGTTCAAATGCGTAAGAGGATGGTAAGATTTATTTACGATTAATTTTAAAAACGGTAATTTTTGTTGACGATAAAAATTGGATCAACAAATTTCTCTTACCTAGCTAGAATTTTCGCTTCCTAAACTCACTGATTTTGATGCTCAAACTAGAGGAAGAGAAGAAATTACTATTTGAAATGGAGATATTTGAATTGTGCACGGTTTCCTTCTCTTAGGTGGGGTATTATGGATTTCTCTTAAAGTTTTGGAGCAATTTGGCCATTTAGAGAAATTTGACAAATGGTCACCTCTTATTAGCTAGCTTTCAACTGCAATTGATTTTGTTAGGAAGACACTGCAGTGACAAAAAAAATGGTTGAAATACAAGTTGACCTACACACACAAAATATGGGGCCCACTTTTTTTTCTTTTTTCTGAATTTTGAATTCAGGTGGGCCCTCGGGCATGTGAGAGGTGGTCAGTGTCTCTTTCAACCATTTTCTGTCACTGGAGCTTAATTCACTTTGTTATAATATCACGATTTATTCATTATCTCACACGTCTTTCTCTTATTGATTACGTGAAATCATACTTTGAACACTTGCTCACGTGTCCTTAACAACGATTTTTAGCCAACTTGGAAGGGAAATGGCTCGCCTATATTTGGAGCGAGCATTTCTTATACTTCACATTCCATTTACAAGCGCAAGCAGATGGCGAGGTTCCCGGAGTGTATTTATTGATTCAACAATTTTATTTCCTTATTTTAAAAAAGAATCGTACATTGGATTGCTTGTGTATTCCTATTAACCAAACAATGTACTAAGAATTTTTCAGATGATACTCCCATCTTGAATCACTGCACTCCTTAATATTATAACTATCCCTCCTGTGATGATATATCCACTTTCTTCATTGTTTGCTTCCTGCACATTATCCCTGTTTATGATCTGCATAACATGAATTAAAGTGAGTCTAATTTCAACATTTTTACCTTTACGAAATAACAAATTGATATTTTAAGAACGAAAATTGTGATTGAACTATTGCACGTACCAGAACATTTTGGCCAATCCTTGCATTCTTGTCAATTATAGCTTTTCTTATGTGTGAACCTTCTCCTATTCCAACAGGAATGCATAGGCCTCTCTCTTCCCTGGCACCAATCTGGACATTGTTCGTCCGTTAAACAATTACATTTGAGAAACGAGATACTTAGTACAAAAGGTACCAAGTTGTACTACATGTACATAAGGTTTATATACATATGATGTGATGAAATATTATTTGATTAGAATTTCTTCAAGACAGCTCATCTATATAAAAACAGTTATATAACTCCTTATGTACAAATAGTATTATTCAAAGGTACCAAGTTCAATTCACTCTTCCTGATGATCTGTTAAAATTTCAGTAAAAAAACTGTGTGCTTCTTACTTGATAGGAATATTGAGGCGCTTTGATTTACTGAAGAGCCAACAACTCCATTATAATATAATTTTTTACCATTTGGAAGTTAACAAAAAATTAAAAATCAAGTAATTTAAATAATATACTAGGTCTCCGTTTAACAAACAATAATGTTCGTGTGGCCCTTATTATTTGAAATTTTAATGATCAAAATAGTGTTTTGTTTAAAAAAATTTGTGGTTAAAAAGAAAAAAAATTAATATTATTTATAACATTATTTTATTAGAGATTGTGTTGTTAATGAGAAAAGAGACGGAAGTGAATTATAATTTTAATTGGCCAAACGTATGCTTTAGAAGTTCAGTTTAAAGTTAAAGATTTGATTAATCTGACACACAGACGATGATTAGGAAAATTGACAAATAAAATCACGTCGCAATCAAGGTTTGGTCTAATCAATTTACTGAATTTCACTATCACTCCTATCAGTTCTATTGCTAAATGGTGCCACGCCACACACGAATTTAACGCGTATAAATTTATGTATACATATCTCGAATTAATTCCGGGTTTTGTTACTTCCATTATCAAAGACTCTAATTTGATATAAATTTCACAGAGGTCAGTGAAGGTAAGCTAACTCAATTTTTATTTTTTACTGGAGTTTCTTGGAATTTATTTTTGATTAAAGGTTGGATATTTTCCAGATGAATTAATGATTATGAAAGCTGCGAAATTGATTGTATGATTTTTGTTGTGATAAAAAATGGGTATTCAGTTGCAGGTTTTGCTTTCTGGTCTGTTAGGTTACTTGGAACTAAGAACTTATAGTATATTGATGGTAAATTAATCAAATTTCTTGATTTGAAAAGTTGACAAGCTTTATTAAACCCTATTCAGATATGAAATTTATTGACTAATATTGATAAAACAAGCGTTTGTTGAGCTGCTGCTTGTGTATCCAGTTTAGCCACAAAAGTAGCACCAGCATGTTCTTTCCTGTTTATGATCTCTTCTTTAGGGTTGTAAATGGTTGAAATGACTAATATGATCTGTTATCCTTTCGCTATTTATTTTTTTTAACTGAATATTGATGATCAGTACTGAAATATGCTAAAACTCCTTAATAATCCAGGAGATTTTGGAATTGCTTCTTAGTTGTTTTTGTGCCAAATTATTGTTTTAGGGGTGTAATCCATTATTCAACAAAATTGGACAGGTAAATTGATGAATCCAATTGATATTGATCTTGAGGAACACGGCAATGACCAACCACCTCCAAGTTCAGTGGGTGGGGGTCAAGAATCAATGCACCCAAGAAGACAAGATGGGCAAACCGAACAGTTCCAGGTAGCCAGGAGAAAAGGAAGGTTAACCACAAAGGTATGAAATTACTCCATTTAGTTCCTTCAAGGGTATGGATATTTTCTAAGCAAAATAAGCGCAACCCCAGGTTTAAAAGCTGAAATGAAACAGCGCATGGTGTTTGCAAATTTTGTGAGTTGGGCCATGAGGCCTTCAATGCTTAGTCAAGAGAGGTGCAAAAATTCTTTACTTGTCCAACACCATTCAAGAATACTTAAGCATTAACGTTTCGGAAGCAATCTGTTACTAATCATAATTAGGCATACAGTACTCAATTGACTGTTGAACGTGCACAAGTGGGGGCTTTTTTACCTTATTTCATTTGCTTATTCTCTAATATTGTAACCAATTAATTTAACCTCTTGGTTTTCCAAATTATTTAGCTATTTCTGAGCCACAGTGCTGCTAAATATTATAGAATCGCCAGTATAAATATCCCCCCCCCACCCCACCCCCAACACACAAAATGAAAAGGGAAATATGAAAGTTATAAAGAACAACATAAGGGAATAAATAAAAAGAATAACATCAGTTTTTGAGTTTGTGCTGATACCTCAAACTGAGAACTGATCCGATTATGTATTTAATTGCAGTTTTCTTTGGTGAATCTTTCCAGCACCTTACTACTAGCATACCAGAGCTTTGGTGTGGTATATGGAGATTTGAGCACATCACCTCTCTATGTTTATAAAAGTATATTCATTGGGAAGTTGCAAAACCATCAAAATCCTGATGCAATATTTGGTGCATTTTCATTGATTTTCTGGACTCTAACACTGATTCCTTTGCTCAAATATGTATTTCTTGTACTGAGTGCTGATGACAATGGTGAAGGTATTCTAAGCGCGCTGTACTTTTAAATATTAACTGATTACCCCGTAGCTTCTGATAACATCAGACCAACTATATTTTAATCAATGCAGGTGGAACATTTTCTCTTTACTCCCTGCTTTGTAGACATGCAAAACTCAGTTTACTTCCCAATCAACAAGCAGCAGATGAAGAGCTCTCAGCTTACAAATGCGGTCCCTCAGGACAGTCTTCATCATCTTTAACACTGAAGAGGTTTCTAGAAAAGCACAAAAAGTCTAGGATATTTCTACTTCTTGTAGTTTTATTGGGGGCTGGCATGGTAATAGGTGATGGTGTAATCACTCCAGCAATTTCAGGTATGATAATGCTAATTATTGATGTCTTTGAAGTAGTATTAGATAAAAGACAAATATGCCTGTTATTGACTAATTTTCATCGTGGTATTATAAGACTACTATCTTGCAGAATTATTTCACCCGATTTTTACCTTCTGAAATTCAAATATTTCACTTTATGGCACTTTTATTTTAGCGTGCGTAACATTTCAGTTAATGACTTTTATTTTAACATTTTCTGGTCTCTATGTTATTTATAAATTAGCAAGACCATTCATTTGTCTGGCATTCAACTTTCATCACCAATAATATCTAAGGTGAAAAATCTGGTTAAATGCCCCATGATTGAGATTATAATCCACTGTACCTAAACCACAACATTTATTGCAAATATGACTGAATATTTTTGCGTACTTCAACTTTGATTATTTATTTTCCAAAACACAAGCAAAAATTGAACTGTAGGTCATGTAATCCTAAGTTGCATGTTTGTTTCTATCTCTGATCCTTCTGATTTTTAGTTCTCATCTATATACTTGCTTTTCTGAGTGATCTCAATTTTTGAGCATTTGTACTAGAGCTGTTTTCAATTGGCATCATTTTTTCATTGCAGTTCTGTCATCAATATCAGGGCTTCAAGCTGCCGAGAAAAGGTTGAATCAGGGTATGCATAGTTCTCTGTATTTCGTTAATTATTATTTGAACTGAGTTGCAGTTGCTTTTATACCATCACAGGATTGCACTCCACTGAATTAAATTATACTTCTGATCATCAAAACAATCTTCCATCTGTAGGTGAGGTCCTACTGCTTGCTTGCGTCATATTGATTGGCCTATTTGCTCTGCAGCATTTTGGTACCCATAAGGTTGCTTTCTTGTTTGCACCAGTCGTTATTCTATGGTTGATATCAATTTTTGCCATTGGCCTGTATAATACTATACACTGGAATCCAAAGATCGTCTTTGGCCTTTCTCCGCATTATATCATTAAATTCTTTAGTGAAACTGGCAAAGATGGATGGATTTCACTTGGCGGGGTTCTTCTTTCTATAACAGGTAAGTAAAATGTACAGGGTTAAGACTTGGTCTTTCTTGTAGTAGTTATATCGATGAAATGAGAAACCTCAAGTTTTTTACTAATAGCTACAGTTTCTGTGATTACAGGAACTGAGGCCATGTTCGCTGATCTTGGCCATTTCACTGCCTCCTCAATAAGGGTAAGTCCATCCCAATATATCCATAGCAAACATCGAGTTGAGAATGTGATTAACAAGAATTCAACAGTTTAGTTTTACTTTGGGTTAACGGATTTATCATATATTCCTTTTCCTACTAGACATTAGATTCTAAATTACTATGGGGAGCCTATGGGAGGAAAAAATTGTTTACTATTGCAGTTGGCTGGATCAGTTACGCATCTACTATTTGATTATCATTTCACATTATATTATATGAATTACCAGTGACACATGAGCTCTATCATAATCTGCATATTTTCTGATATGCAGCTTGCATTTGCATTTGTCGTATATCCTTGTTTGGTAGTGCAATATATGGGCCAGGCTGCTTATCTGTCAGAAAATATTTCTTCAATTCCAAACAGTTTCTATGACTCAATACCTGGTTAGTTTTGTTGCTATACTTATAGATATTATATTTTTCATGGAATCAAAATTAGTTATATTCTACTGGAAATATTTCACTGTCCTGCAGGTAGTGTATTTTGGCCTGTCTTTGTTATTGCCACCCTTGCAGCCATCGTTGGCAGTCAGGCTATTATCAGCGCTACCTTCTCTATTGTTAAGCAATGCCATGCTCTTGGTTGCTTTCCACGGGTTAAGGTTGTTCACACATCAAAACATATCTATGGGCAGATCTATATACCAGAGATCAACTGGATCCTCATGATTCTTACTCTTGCTATCGCTGTTGGTTTCCAGGACACAACTATGATAGGGAATGCATATGGTAAGCCAATAATATCAAGTTGTAACTTCCATCTTTGTTTCATAACTTTCTTTGAGACCATTGGTTATATTATGCTTCTGTGCTGCTTATGACAATATTTCAGAACATAACAAATTTAATGAAATCTACATGTATTATTCCTGCATTCATAACTATAGTAGAACTTTCTTACACAGCGCTAAGTGATATCAACATTGTTGAAAGATTTTTAGGATAAGGTTTCATGATGAGCAGCGATATAGATGAGAGTGTCTTGATAATTCACTGTGCAGTAGCTGAAAGAGAGAGCAAACTGATATGCTGAATCATATCTTTAACTTCGCATTGATATTTCTGTTATCATCGACTAGATGCTTATTTTCCTCAAATCCTACTTTCTAACACGTCGTGTGCAAGGATTAATATGCTTTGAGCATCCATGGTCTAAGACATTTAGGACTATTAAAGTTTGTGAGATCTTTAATGAGCTAGAATTTTTCTTAAAGGAAATTTGTTGAACTTGATGATTTGAGATGATGAGAATCAAAAGTATTTTTTCACGGGCTGAACTTCCTAGAAATTGAAGGAAGAATTCATAAGGTACCCCTACATCCCTTGGTATCACCTCAAGGATTTGAATTGCATCAAACAACTTAATACAAAACTAGAATTTCTACAAATACTTCTCCCTGATTGTAGATTGGAAGCCTAGAATGCTTTAAATAGGCACAGTGAATTCCTAAATCTTTTAGGATTCCAAATTCTGATTTGGAAACCTAATAAATTACCTAAGTAACTTAATAGTGATGGCCTGATAGTAAGAAAGACAATACTTAATGATTACCTAAAGAAACAATTTTAGACATATGTAGATTTCTAAAAATTACGAAAATATCCCTCACCTGAAGGCTAAAAATACTTCACAAAACCAAAATCTATATCAAACATGCCTAGTGGCATGTTTATTTTATTACATTCTTTAAATTTTCGACAGTCAAAGGACGCTTCCGAAAACTGCCATGGGAACGTGCCTTACTCACTTTCATATTCTTTATATCTCTACCACAAGAGGAGCATGACCTTGGCGCATCAACGACACAAAACGTCCCATATTTTAATTTTTGGAAAATAAAGTTAGGTAAGTTTTTAATTATTAAAACATTTGTGTAAAAAAGTTGAGAAATTCTATGAACTTCATGTCAAATTTGTTATGATTCTACTATAAGCATTTTTCTTTCTTCTAGCAGTAGTAAAATGTTGCTTAACCAATGTTGATATAAAAAATATCTGATTCTCTAATTCAAAAGATATCAGCTTCAATGATTAATGCTAAAAAGTATTTAATTTCATTGAAAAATAAACACAAAAATATTAAAATGAAGAGATAATATATAATATAATAACTTAAAAAATGTGATCTGATGTGTCACCAATGTGTCCGAGTTCTACTTTTTCGAGAAATCATGTGTATGCCTTGCTTGTGTCGCGTGTCCGTAACTGTATCTGTGCTTCTTAGACTATTGGCTTATAGATATTATTTTTCTGAAAATCTGCTTTGCTTTTTGGGACTGACATACATGTGCTTATCAATTATGGACATACATGCATATGTTTACTGTGTGTTTTGGTCCTGTATGCTGTTCTCTTAGCATAAGTATTTTTTGATTGATATGCTCCTCTTTCATTTATTGTGAGCTGGGAGAAAGTTGGGGATCTAACCCTCTCCCACCCTCATGCCTCCAAGTCCAACACTACCAAAATCAAGAAGATGAGGAAGAGATTTTTCCTTCTCTCTCTCTCTCTTTTTTCTTTTACTTGTGATTGTGGTGTGGGGATGAGGAGGACACCTTGTTCTATGAGAAGCAAAAGCAAAGAAAAGAATTGCAAAGTTTAAATGCTAGTTGAGCATTTTCAAAGTGTAGGGGGGAAAGAAAATACCCTACCTTGTTTTTGCTTTAAACAATTTAACCAGGAAACTGCCTTCTGTGATGACTTCTGGCCCCCAGTTTTTTGTGCCTCAAAGTCCATTTATGTTCCCATTTGTGTTTCTTATTTTGTGACAACTTCATCTATATGATTTTTTCTTATGCTGGAGCTTCTGTTTGGCAGGCCTTGCTTGCATGTCTGTTATGTTTATTACCACATTTCTAATGGCACTTGTCATGGTCTTTGNCGACCAAAGAACACTAACTAAAAAATGGTAAATGGAAGGACCAAAGAGACTCCAGACTCCACAGAAGGGAGAAAAAATAAAAGGAAAAAAAGAGCCCTATTATTAAGAATAACACCATACTTCAAGCTTAATTAAATTGGTTCTCACTATTAACAATCCATAAAGGAAAAACTGAACTTAGTCTACCATCTTTTTACATTTTCTAAGAGTAACCAACCATCGGCTATTTCTGGCTATTTCTAATTTACCTAACCATGAATTATGACACTCTTATTTAACAATATTAGCAACATGACTTCTGTCAATTTGAGTTCCAATTGCAAGAAAATTGAAATAAGGCAATATCTAAAAATAGCAACTAATCAAAGATCTTTCGGCAATGAAGAGGTAGCAATGGTAAAATGTGAACTTTTATTCCTTGCTACAAGACCTTATTGCAATGCATTTTGCAAAAGCTTGATGTGAGAATTTCTCCAACAGATATCTTAACAAGTTCAATTTGATGTTTAACAACATATAAAGAAATAAAAAATTTGTCCTGCATAAGAATTAAAATTTTTGGCACTGTGCAAGCAATAGCAGGCATCTCTTAAAGATGTCAATAGCTTCTATACACCTTTCATCATAAGGTCACTTCACTGTTTACCTTTGTTTATTTATACAATATGTATTAAGGTTGATGGCATCTAAAAAATAACACCACTGAAGAAAAACTATAAAACAATTCACCTTGTCAGGACTGAATTTCAACTTGTATCTTGACAGGCTGTGAGATAAACCCAAGCTCATTGGAGCCAAATCTTGAGAAGCTAGACCAGAGATAAGTTCAGTCAATTGACTCCTCACCCCTCTCATCAGTTCCATGACAGCATTGTTATGGACACACTCAATTTGCTGCAAGGCATTAAACAATTAGCTTAGCTGTAGGGAAGCTTAGGTGCAGCATGTTACAAGTTAACTGCTGCACATCAGGTCTTCACTAGATCAGTGTTAACGCACCAGTTTTTCCTTAATCGCATTTCCAAGTTTCGAGTCAGCGACCGCTAAAATGTCATCTTCACAATGAGAACGGAGGAATTTGCGAAGACCCTTGCTTGGTTTGCTATCAATCAATAAGGTAGCTGCTGACAGCGCCTCTGATGTGTTTTCAAACTTGGAAAAAGCTTTCAGCTTAACAACCTATTGTGAATATAGAGCCAATAGCTAATTAGACCCATAAACGGAGGGCAACATTACAAATACATAGATGTGTTAGTACTATTTAAAAAGAGCCCTTAAAGAACAGTTCCCGTGACATTTAAAATTTGAACTTTTCTCCACAACCACCTAATAATATATAAACAATCAAATAGCTATAAGTTATTAACTAGAATTGAGATGAAGGCATGATATTGCACTAAATAGTCGTTGCACTGCAAATATTGTCAATTCGCTGATGAAAACTCACGTGTTCCCTCTTTATCTTTTATCCTTTTTCCATTGGCTGAAGACGAAGTTGTTAAATGATCAAAAAAACCTTCAGCCAGCTAATGCAATAAAATCAAATTTTTTTGACAATCACATCTATGCTAATAGAAACAGGAAATAAGCCCAAAAGTAACTCCATTTTTTCCAGAAATATTCACAAATTCATACACAATTAAAACATATACACTTATATACAAAGATAAGCATAAATAGATTAAGAAAAATGACCTGTCTAGCTGAATCTGCAGTAGAGAACTCCTTCCACAAGTCCTGCAATCAAGTCAAGAAGTACTCCGTCCTCAAAACAAAATTACTCTTACATCTAAAAATAATTAATTATAAAGCACAACAATAGAAGAAAACGGGGGAATCAAAAAACAAATAATTTACAAAGAACAATACCTCAACTTTGGAGAGCTTGCCTTCATCCAAGACTTTGAAAAGGGCAAACCCCGCAGGGGTTTCGAACAGCAGTAACATTCTTCTTGCTCGAAATCGTCGAACAGTCGACGGCCACCAAAAGATACAGCTTTTCTCGAGCTAGGGTTTGGGAAAAAGCACAGGGGTTTAAGAGAGTGAGACTCTAGCGTGTTGCAGATTTATAGCGTACACGGAAGCCCTAGAATTTTATGTTTAAGGTTATAATTGTCTTTTACTAATTATTAATACTTTTAACATAAGGATAATTATATTCGCAGCACAATTTTTATTTCTTACACCACATTTTAATTGTATTTAGAGTTCTTAATCTTTGCTCATTTTAGTACTTGTGTCCTTAAAGATTTTTCATATCATTCTTATATCCAAGTTTTCCATTAATTAACACATTTTGTATTTAATAATAATTATATATATATAGCCCTTGTTTGAGCCCCATTTTTACAAAAAATGCACACTTGATAATAATTTGACCACATTTCAACTACATATTATTCAATAAAATAATATTACACGTAAATTTAAATTTTCTATTATTTTTTTACCACACATTTCTTATCAATACACTATTCAAAAAATGTATTTTTTTTAAAAAAATGGTGCTCAAACAAGCCCATAAAAGTCCGTTGAAATAACGTGAAATAATTCATTCTTTCATCATATTTTTAAAAAGTAAATAAATAAAAAGTGCGAAATAAAACTATTTTTTTCACATTTCAAAGCATGAAAACAAAATATTTCGATATAAATCACAATCAAGGATAAGATATACTAATTAATAAAAGTTGAAGATAAGAATTTGACCTAAAAAGATTTAAAAAATAATTGTTACAATTAAACAAATATTGAGATACTTAACTGCAATTAAAATATAGTGTATCAAATAAAAATTGTGATAGTAATATAACCACAATTTTTATTTCTTACACCATTACAGTTAAAGTTCTCAATTTTTACTCAATATAATATTTATGTCACTAACGATTTTTCATGACATTCTTATTTTTATTAAGAAGATAATTGGTACAACGAGAAAAAATTTGAAAGCTTAACAGCAATTAAAATGTGGTGTAACAAGTAAAAATTATAATGTCATTATAACCACCCTTACTATAATATAAGTTATTTTCATCCTTACTATGCCCCTCTTTGAGCCTGATTCGCTAAAATTCATTTTTATTTAATTATTTTCACTATACATTTGCTTGATTCCAATTCTTTCCAAAATACATTTTTCTCTTTTGTTTTTTCAATTACACATTATTCATTAAAATAATATTACATGTAAATCAAAAAAAATTCCTTATTTTTCAACCGCACATTTTCTATCAATCTACTATTACAAAATACATTTTTTCGTAAAAATGGGTAGTGTGTCATTGGAGATACTCTTAAGCATATTAAATCTCCGCCTTATTTTATGTAAAGTCTCTCCCTAATTTGTTGTTGTTCATGTGCTCTCATGCAGATTTTCATTGTTTTCTTATTTTTGCAAGATCTTATTTACACAAAATTATACACATGTTATGATTAACACCTCGATATATTGGAAGTTGATAGAAATCGATGTAGTGGCCATGATTCACACTCAGAATCCCTCGCCTTATTCGAAAAGTTAATGAGACCACTTGAGTATTTACTTTTGAGAGCAATTTAAATTTATATGGAGATGCTCGAATGTTTAATGATGCGATTGTATCGCGAATAAATTGTCAAGGAACATGCCAGATATGAGTGCTATAAGAATTAGAAGAGTTGATTGTCATTTAGCATTGATCTAATCATGTAACACTCGACACATTAATACGTATTGATAACAGACCAAGACAGAGACGGATTTAAGGAGGGGCTGGACTAGGCTGGGCTGTAGCCCCCCCCTTCAGGTCCAAGAGTTTTTTTTAAGGTTTTTTTTTGTGTAAATTTTTTTTTTAACATAGTAGCCCGATTTGAAATTTTATAGTTCGGTCTTGAATCAAATCCTAGATCCGTCCCTGGATCAAGAGGTTACAAATTGCAAAAAAAATATTTTATTGCTTCTTTGATTTTTATATGATTAATAGTTCAAATTCCCCCCTTTATTGAAATCAGGAAAAACTAATAATTATATAGGACAATCCCTTATTTGCTTGATTGTGTACAATTATCGTCATTTAAATTGCATAAGTTCGAGTAGGTCGCTTTGGTTGCTTTGATAAAAGTTCTGGACTTAATTAGGGAAACCACGGGAAAAGATCCTAGCCCTATAGAGGTGCTAGGTTCATCTACAAGGATATATCAATTATCAATTGTCCTTGTTTCGCCAATTTCATATATATAGAAATTGTGATTTCTTGTTCCATTTGTGTTCAATTTTCACAAATTGTGATTCTTGATTTGGCTTGAAGTGCTCACATACCAACTCACATTTCATACTTTCAGAGAATACTAAAGAAAGTTTGATGTTAAAACCTTGAAGATTGTATATCAAGATTCAAGAATGGGATTGGAGCAGTGCATCAATTCAGAATTTGGATTTAGAATTGGTCATGCTTCAATGGTGATTTTGCCATTCTTTATGTAAATAACTTTGAGCATGTTATAACGGGAATTTAATTATTTATTGAAAAAATTGGCTAAAACTTTTTAAGCCCTTGTTTGGCGTAGATTAAAATAATTTTTAGTAAATTTTGATAAAATTACCATGAAGAGTAGCACAAGGGATACCACAATTTAATGCATCACTTTTATCGGAGAGTTCACTCTTTTTTATCCAAACCTTCTTGGAGTAAGATGTAATTTTAGTCGATTGAGTCATCAATTCAGTCAAGTGACTTACTTGATTAGTCAATAATCTAACATATGTAGCTAAATCTTATTTGTTGTTCCTAATCAAGGGCTTATGGCACCTAGGTCTAACGTGACCTAATTCACCACAATTGTAATAAGTGAGAATAAATTTAGGAGTAAGCATAGGTTTCAAATTTTGAACCTTAAGCGAAGAAAACCTAAGTAGTGCATATGATTTTGGTCCTCGATCACCTACACTCTTTTTCTTGTTCTTGTTCTCACTCAAGAGCTCGTGATATTTTATGCCTTATGTGTCCTAACGTATCACAATAGTGATGCATGAGAACGAACCTAGGAACAACGCTTGATTTCAAGTTTTGAACCTTATTTTCATAAGAATGTATTTTTAAATAGTCTGTTGATGGGAAATGTGCTATTAAAAAAAGAAAAAAATTTGAATATGTGTGTAGTATTATTTATTGAATAATGTATAATTGAAATGATGTTAAATCACTGTTTAATAATATATATATCTTAAATGTGGGTCAAACAAGGTCTTGATAAAAGTTGGCACAAACTTATTTTTAGAAGAGGAAGTAGCATAAGAATATTTAAGCCTAAACCTCCTCTATTCCCAACCGGTTTTTGCAATTCTAATATGTTGTTAAGCATCTTAGAACCACTAAAGAGAGGTTGAAGTTGGGCATTTGATTTTTCAAGATTACTCATAAGAGTTTTAACCCTAATTTTCAAGGACTTCTCAACCCTAAATTCATTCACTCATATGGTAGACTCCTCAATTTTGGTTATAAGACTCTCATTTTTTAATTCAAGCATATTCAGTTTCGTAAAAATTAATCTATTAACCTTATGTAACTTGAGACCCTCCTCAAACAGCTTTGTTATAAGCCTTGTGAATATCCATTCTATTCTCATATTCTTCATCGGAAAATGATTGACTCATCTAGACAAAATGGGATCACGGATCACAATTAAGCCTGAGACCACTTGTTAGGGAAATATTTAGACCTAACTATACGGAATTAAAACAACTGATAATAAAAAACAAGAAGTCTCTATATATACATTGGCTATCAATGATTAAGTTTATTAATCCAACTAAGCCGTAATTAACAATAACATAAACATCCAGATCAAACATAGTAAAAAGTAAATAACATCAAAAATTTATGACGGAGGAAACCCCCTTTAAGAACTCTCCAAGTACCTAAAACCTCTAGGCACACCTTGTCAAAAAGTTTCACTAGAAAAACTAACTTACAATTAGTCCAAGTACTACTCAACATTAGTTGACTCTAACCGCCCAACTTGTAAATCACCGAATAACCTCTTTGACCAGGCAATCCGCACTTTCCAAAACTCTAGGCTACTTTCCCTATGCGTGAATCACTAAGACCGAAGTCAGAATTTTAAAGGCTTATATGTGAAGATAGGGTTTTTCATATTTGATCTTTTGATTAAATCAAAAGAATTAGGGAATTATTGTTTGGTCATAAGATGTTCTCTTGAATATATAAAGGCTCAATCAATGACACAAAGATGGTTTGAGACGAATTATATCACGAGCATATATAATATGAAGTATTTGAAATTATTTGAGATTGTAAAAATGCTAAATATCATGATCTAGAGTTTGGATACGTAACCTAGTCGCTCAAGCGCCAAGTTAGAACCTAGCTTGTGGCCAAGGATTTGTTTTGGGCGCTCAAAGGCCTCGAGACGAGCTTTCTCTGAGCACCCATAAATATTTTCATCATATATTTTTCTCCCAATATCGAATTGAGGTGACTCAAAGTGTATTGAGAAGCTAACTCAAATAGCTACAATTTTCTAGAGTAGAAATTTTCAAATTTGAATATTTTCTATGTAAAAATGTTTCACAACTTGTTAGGGGTGAATGAGGTTCAGTTTGTGCCATATTTTCAACTTAAATGATTTCATGCGGTTTGAAATTTTTTCAAACCAAACCAAACCATTTTATTTTTCAAACCAAACCATAATTTGTGGTTTGGTTTGATTTTAATCTATGGTTAACCTATCGATATTATAGTAACATATTTAAAAAAAGTTAACATATAAGTTTAAACGAGAACTAATAATGTTAAATGTTAAATTATATTCATATTTACCATGAAATCTATGAATAAATAATATTCAAATTTGGTTGCTAAAAGATGTTGATAGAACAAATATATCTTTCTTCATTTTTATTTACCTTTCATTGTTTGATTTTCATATTGTCACATAGCGGTTGGTAAAGGTAAATTCACATTCTACTATTATAGTTTGGTTAAAACCCATTTCGTTTTGTTAATGAGATATAAATACGATTGAAGTAATATATTTTGATGTACAAAGATTGATA